ATAAGTAACCTAGTATGCAGCAGACTTAAGGGAGCTCTTTCTAGAACTCTTCCCAACTTTCAGCAGCCTCAGACTCCTAAAACTTTTACCTGTGTCTCCTCAATTTTAGTGGGACTGCTAGCTCTCTTTGGATACTTCTTCTTGCTCCTACGTTCTGAAAAATGACTCCCAGTGAAATCTGGTGTGACAGTAGTGCTCACCTTCTTTGCTTCCTTTTTCTGAAGGATCACATCACTGACCTCTCTGTTGTATTATGTTTGAAAGCTTTTCTTGATATATTTGCCAAATTTTTCTATATGATTATACTGGGAAGTCTGATCCTTATTAATCCTTTATAGTTGGTGGTGCTATCAAGTTTTAATGTATTTTTATTAATATATATTCTACGAACAATTCCTTTAAAGTGACTATTATATTGCTAAATTGTTTTGATTTCAGCTTTGCTATTTTGTTTGCTTTCAAGTTTTTTGTCACAATTTATAAGAGTATTAGATTTGGAACTTTAAAATCCCAGTCTTGGGTCTTGACTCCAAAATGTAGTAGCTACATAACTTTGGACACATTTAGTTTTTAAATGCCAATGTTAAATCTGTAAGAGAGATACACAGTCATGCATCCCTTAATGTCCACGATATATTATCTGATTTGGATGTTGTGTGAACACCATGTTATTTTCTTACGGTGACTTTGAGATAGCAAAAGTGTTCCTTACCAAGGGACACAAAGAGCCCAGAGTTCTCTTGCTGCTGTCCAGGCCTGGTCAGTGGCTTTGTCCCTGGGGGGAACGAAGGTGGGGAGAGGGTGCATGCCGAGCTGGCAGAGCCTGGGGACTTTGCCTTTAGGCGAGGTCCTAGGGGCACTCAGGAAGGCATTAGGCCTTTTGGAGGCCCAGACAGCCCTGCAGGCCTGGTTGGCTGAGGCTGAGGTCTAGGGATGCGAGGCAAGCCCAGGGTAGGTTCTCCAAGCCCAAGCTGGTACGAGGTGCAAAGGTGGCTTCCACCTGGCTATATCTGGTTACATCTTCTAGGTCCCCTTCTCTGACTGAGATTTCTGAATTTACGGAACCGTGGATATATGTGCGGTTGGACATTGCCCAAATGGACATCATGTGGCACATGACTGTAATAATATCAACATTAAAGTATTTTTGCAATATATGGAACATTGTAAGATATAACAAACTATATAGATATTGTTATTTTTATTTTTGTTCACCACTGACTTTCTGCCACTACATATATGCTACTTCCTATCTAACCCCTTCCTCACCTTTTTTGGTGTTCTCTTATTTTTCCTCCTGTATTAATCTGGTATTCTAAGTGAGACATTTTTGTGTTTAGAAAAAGGGACTAAAAATAATAATGCTTAAGGAAGAATGGTTATTTAATAATAAATTATTTTTCCAGTTGCCATCAAGCTGATTCTGACTCATGGCAATCCCATGTGTTGCAGAGTAGACCTGCACTCTACAGGGTTTTCATGGTTGTGATCTTTGAGAAGCAGATCGCCAAGGCCTTTCTTCTGAGGCACTCCCAAGTGGGGTCGAACTGACAACCTTTAGGTTAGTGGCTAAACTTAATGGTTTGTGCCACCCAGGGATGCCAATAATAACTTACAGGCTTTGTTAAGAATTTGGAAAGATCTATTCCTCCTGCAAAAGCATCAAAGTACAATGCAGGAAGATAAAAACAGCACAATGAAGTATTAAATGTTAATAGTGTTAAAATTTTAAAGACACAGAACAGATAATATAGTGTGTTAAGTCATTAACTACATTTAGCTGGAGTCCAAAAAAAGACAAGTTTTAAAATTATGGAAAGTAAGGCAGTTACAAAGCCAAAATTAAGTTGGCAGTGGGACTGTGTTCCTTTCTAGAGGCCCAGTGAAGAATGTGCTTCTAAGATTATTCTGTTTCTCTTGGCTGTGGGGCTGAGGTTCCCTTTTCCTTCTCGACACATATAGACCATCTGGAGGTAAAGAACAAGGAAGACATCTTTTTTATATCTTTGACCGTGAACTACCACTCACAATAAAATTGTAGTGATTTTATGGAGTCACTAGATGGCCCCGCAGCTCCTGGGTGTCCACATAGTGTGTGGGGAAACTTCAATTCTTAATTTAGCATAGGGACTTTTGAGGGAATTTTTGAAGCAAACTTATTTTAATGTTTATAATTAGTCACTAGAAATTAGTTGTACTTTAAACAGTGAAATTATTCTGTTTAACAATTGTGTATTTGGATATGTTTAAAATAAGAGTTTTCTTTACTAGGAAAACAATACTATTTATTAAAGAAAATGCGGACATTATAGAGAAGAAAATAAATATTATCTATATTCCAACAACTGGGGGAAAATCACTGTTTGCCTTTGTAATTTTTTTCTCTCTCAGCATATAGAAACATAAAACATATATGTATATATTTAATATTTATCAGGATAGAGTCTTATTGTATGTCTTATTTTTAACTGGATTAGTAATAATAGTTTGAGTCTCTCTCATATGCGTAAATATTCTTCTTCATTATTATTTTTTATGCTGGCATAGCATTTCATCATGGAGTAGAATCATATATATTTAACTAATTCCTTAGATTTGGACTATTAGGTGGCTTCTGACTTTTTACTATTAGAAATAGCCCTTTGGTACCCATTTTTGTGATTATGTCTTGTACATTCAAGATTATTTCTTTAAAATTCCTCCAAAAGAAAATTGCTGCATTGGAGGAAAGGTATGAATCATTTAAAGTTTTTATTAAATATTGCCAAGCTGTTTTCCAAAGGTTAAACTAAATCAATTTACATGATCTCCAGCAGTCTTTGTGGTTATATATTTTCTAACAATTTCCTAAGAATATCATTTGTATTTTATGATATATTATCATGTGAGGAAGTCTAGACAAATTTATGAAAATCAAGAACAAGCTTGGAAAGATCATTACTATGCCATTAATATAAAAATCTTGAATCAATTGAATACTGACTATACTACCTAACATTTCAATGGCATTTTATCCTTTGGAGCCCTGGTGGTACAGTGGTTAGAAGCTCCACTGCTAACTGAAAGGTCAGCAGTTCAAATCCACCAGCCACTCCTTGGAAACTCTATGCCGCAGTTCTACTCTGTCAACGGGTTTATATATATGTATATATATACATATATATAAAGTACTTTTAATTTTATTGAATTCCTATAATTATGTGAAAAAAAAGCAGATGAGATATTATTCCTCTTTCCAGAGGAAGAAATTGAAATTATGTTGAAAAATCAATATAAAACACAAATAACTGATAAGTATCATTAGCATATATTAACATAATTAATTATTCAAGGTGAATACAGCCTACTTATTTACCATTTTGAAAATTAGCTAAAAGTTTCAATATAGGAGCAAATAGTGTATCTGCCGAATTTTCTTAGTATTTTAATTCTACTACTTATCACAGTAAAAGTAAAACAAAACAAAAAAGCTATACACTCACACACTCACACACACACAAAACAAAACAAACAAAAATTCCTGTTGAGTTATTCCAACTTATGGAGACCCTATGTGTTACAGAGTAGAACTGCTCCATAGGGTTTTCTTGGCTTCAGTCTTTATGGAAACAGATTGCTAGACTTTTCTTCCCTGGTGCCTCTGGGTGTGTTAGAACCGCCAACCTTTGGGGTAGTAAAACCCACTGCAGAGTTGATTCTGACTCAAAGCGATCCTACAGGGTAGTCAAAAAAAAAGAAAGAAAAAAAATCAAACCAGTTGCTGTGGAGTCACCTTCTGGTCTATGAGCCAAGTACTGGTCTAAGTTCATTTCATATTCTAATTTATTTTATGTCAAACAGCATTATGAGTTGCATGTTATTACTTCCATTATTTTATACAAGAGGGAACTGAAAACAGAAAAGTAACTTGCCCATGGTTCCTCAACTAGTAAGTGATAGAGATTAAACTCAGGCAATATACTCTGGAGCTCAGGCTTTCAACAGCTCCACTTTCCACTTACCCATTTCATAGTACACAAATCACCATACCTTCTATTTTCTTTCATAATCCAGGAGTAGACTGTTATTATTAATGATAAAATATTAAAGCTAGGAAGTCATTTGTTTCATTTTACAACAGTGGAAAATGAGAGCACAGAGGTTAAGAAATCTGCGTATTTATCACTATGCAAGTATCTACAATCTCCATTTCTTTTCAGTATCCCATGCTTGTGACATGTTGAAAAATACCATAGATATCACACATTTCCAACTTTCAGAGAAGGAGAATATTCCAAAACACGTTTATAAAATTCTTTTGAAGGTAATAGGATTCTTCCTGATTAAAATATGACATGGAGATCATGCAGTGCCTCATTTCTATTTAATTAATGATTTTATGCAAATTACTGAAATGTGTATAGCACTTCAGAACTGAACAAGATGCTTTCAGAGTATTGGTTATGAGGACCACTTATCATCTTACTGGCAAGGGGACCAGCTTAAGCATAGGTCCTCACATTGATTCCCCAAAGTGACTTTAGGTGTCATCTAACTTCTCTGACCTCTTCAGTATAGGATGATAAACAATAAAATAAAATAATAAAAACAAAGAAACGTAAAAAAAAAAAAATAGCCATAAATTCCTCCCAATTCAATTAGAACATTTACTGAGCATCTGCTCTATATAGGAAAATGGACACTGCCCTCTAGGATACACATGTGGGAAAACAATCTGAAAATCTGAAACTAGGTTATAAGTCTAAGGTTATTTATATATATGATTTTTGTTAATGTTACAGTATTTTGTTTTCTGCTTTCTAAAACCAACCCATTGGTGTCGAGTCCATTCAACTTACCAAGGGACACAAAGTAGAACTTCCCCATAGGGTTTCCAAGACTATAAATCTTTAAGAAAGCAGACTGCCACATCTTTCTCCTGGATAGCGGCTGGTGGGTTCCAACCGCAGACCTTTCAGTTAGCAGTTGAGGGCTTAACCACTGCACCACCAGGGCACTTTCTAGTAGGACATAATTTTTAATGTATTTTGAAGAAATGAACACTTCTTGGAAACCATTTTGTTGGTTCTACTTTTATTTTCACATACCTAAAAGCAGCTTATAATTGTACTGAATACAAAATACAATCAAGTAAACACACTTTATTGCACATAGAAAATAGTTCACATGAAGTATTGCACATAATAGAATTGCTTAGGAAAGGCACATATTTATTATCAGATAAGACTGGTATTATTCCAGGTTTGAAAAATAAAGAATTTTTCCTAATATGGATTTGCCACATCATATATTGCACATTTTCCAACACTTTGATCTGTTTTACAAATATTCCTCATATTCTTTGTCTTTTCTTGGAAAAACGCTGTATGTAAAGTTTTAAAGACAAAAAAAAAAAGTACTGTTGAAAAAGACCAGTCTATATTGAGGAAGTAAAAACAAACAAAGAAACAAAAACCCACAACCCACAAAAAACAATAAATACATGATTACCCTACTCTTTTGGGGAACAAAAGTTGCAAAGTAACCTAACAAACACCTACAAAGAGAGAAATATTACAAAGCTTAATTTCATAGGCATTTATCCACTTGTAAATGTTCTCTGGGTTTAAGAAATGCATTTTGACCTAATGTCTGTGTTACCAATTAACATTCCCTTTGCTTACATTCAGTTTTTTCTACTACCACCATCTTACTCCTTCATATAGTGCAAATGCATGAAGGGTTATCACTGCTGGTAGCTGCTCAACAATAAATAATAAGATTAAACCTATCTTTTTATTATTATTTCTGTATTTGAAAAAATAAAGTGCATCTGAAAAGTTTTTTATTCATGCTCTTATTTGTTGGCATGGTTATCAGTCAACCTATGCTGTTTCCAGAGAATGGAGGGAGTATTCCACAATGCAGGTTTTTCCGGAATTTCTCTCCTTTTCTCCACAGTCCTGCTTGGAAGATTTCCAAAATAATTCAAAGTGTTTTTCCACAAAGTCCTTCTAGGAAACTTCTGAACATACAGCAGCATCCACAGTGACTCATTTCCTTTAGTTCCATGAGAGTCTATAAGCACAGGTTTCCTCATTAATTGGAAGGTTTACTACAAATCCAGTGTAAAGGCTTTTGGCATTCTGCAGTGATGACATGTGTGCTATTCAGAAATGCACAGTTTTTAGACCCCGACATGTTGAACCTGTCAAACAATAAAGAAACTTCAAATTATTTCCCAGTTCATTATTTCCATTCAGTTACATGCGAAGAAATTTTGTGGTGGTGGGGGTCTCTGCTTTTTTGCTCAGCGGGAATGCATGAGGCAAGACTGCCGGTCAAAAAAATCATAAACCCATCTGCAGAGACAGTAGAAAAAAAATTCAAAGGAGTAATGTGTGGAAGGAAGATTCAAAGCTAAGAATAAAGAACTCCATTCATTTCACTAGCATATCATCGGAGGAGTGATTCTTGGCTGTTTTCAAGTTCACAGGCCCTGTAAGAAGTACTGCCCAGAAAGAATACACACTCAACATTCAGCATGCTTGTTCATACAATTTTAGATGGTTTTTGGCCCTGAAGCCCATTCACAGATATGGGACCATGGGATATATATTAAGAACCCCTTTTCTAGAAACCTGCATTTTCATCTTCTTGATATTGCATTGATAATCATTATAAGACTGTTCAGAAAGCTAGAAATTTATTCAATTCTGAACGTTCAGATGGCAAAGATTAGCACCAAACTTTAAAATTTCCTACAAATTTTAAAGTTGAGTTTTACTACTTGCAAAGGGAATAGTATCTTTAATTCTGGGGCAAGTTTTCTCTGAGGTTATGCCTAATTAGGCATTGAAAATATTATTCTTTATCCCTGTGGAGATAGAAACTGGGGAAGTAAAAGAAAGAACTATTTTCTAACAACTGCCTCATTAGTAAAATATAAACACAAGATTGGAAATGTTGCTGCTGCTGCTTTTTTTTTTTCATCATCGTAATTATAACTAGACTATTTCCAAACAAACTATGGTAAGTTTATTACTCACACGAGAGCTTTCTGAGAATATGTCTGTGGTGGTTGTGTGCCATCAAGTTGATTCTGACTCATTACAACCCTACAGGACAGAGTAGAACTGCCCATAGAGTTTCCTAGGCTGTAATTTTTTACGGGAGCAGATCACCCGGTCTTTTCTCTCACAGAGCCGCTGGTGGGTTGGAAATTCGGTTAGCAGCTGAGTGCTTAACCATTGCGCAACCAGGGTTCCTGAATATATGACTTAATTGTATGAGTGTTAATTGTATGAGTTCCAAGAGGATAAAGAAAAAAAATTAAGAAAGGCTTTTCTTAAAGAATTCCAGAGTATAAGCATATAAAAGAGATTGTTAAGAGCTAAGCTCAGAAAGAGCAAAAGTGGTTCCCCTGAGCTGGCAGCCTGGGGAAGATGAAGAGAATTCTGGAGACTTACCAGTTGTTAAATTCGTTGCCATTTGACCATTTCCATGTCTGACCAGTTTCATTTGTTAACCCAATCCAGTGTTCAGTTCTACCCACATATCGTTTTAGAAAGACCTTGAAGAAAGTACAAAGAAAATATGTGTTAAACCATCCCTGTGGATAAATATATAATAAACCCTGTTTTTCAGAAGCTGCAATTAAAAGCATCATAGCTAAGCTGCTTACTTATTACTTCTATAGAGGATCAGCTCATTTAGATCCCTTATCTTTGAAGCTAAGCAATCCAAACAAACTTAAAAGACTAAACTGAACTCTCATTTTGACCTCATACAGATCATATGGCTTTCCGTGACTTGCTTTCCCTATAGAGGAGATAGGTACAATATCTTCCCTTCAAAGGAAACAAAGTGAAACCACAGATCAGCTCTACAAAATAAAATATCATTATTTTATGGAGCTATTTTTGAATTCTATGATCTTACCATCTCCTTTTCAGAATCTATGAGAGCAAGAGTAGCACCCTGTTTGGAACAAGAGCTTTGGGCTGAGGTCCAGCTGTTTGTCAGAGTGGAAATTAAGTAGCATTTCTTCTGGTATCCAATCCAATCATCTGAGCATGGAGAAACATGGCTGTCTAATGGCACTGAGGCAATATATTGGCCTGGACAATTGTATTGGCCCACTGTGAACAGGAAAATGTTTTGTTAGTAACAAAAGGAACCAAATACCCACCAGTGGCCTCACTAGGCGAGTGTAGGGGTGCAGATCACACAAGGTGACACTTTCAGAGGAGATGACATCAAAATGACTACAAACTTTTTGTGCAGTGTTTTAACAGAAATTTATTATTTTTTATAAAAATATCCTTGTAGTTAGTTATAACAGCAAAAATACTTTTCGTAAGCCCAGTCTACAAGTAGCAATATATCTACAAGGCTAAAATTCTATGCTAACTTACTTTTTAAACCTTTCACTGCCTTCCAGTCAGATCTGTCATTATTACCCAATTACAATGATGCTTCAAATCACATGGTTTTGTCTGCACACACTACAAGCGTGTGCTGTTGTTTTCATCTCTGCTGATATTTTTATAGTTGCTGATTTTGTCAAACCTTCTGGTGTTTTAGCTACAATATTGTGGTAATTAGTACTTGTGAACTTATAATTTTTTTTTAGAATGAAGTAGTAATTAAAGGAAAAGAAGGAGAAAAATTAAAAAAGGCTTGCACTCAGTTACTAATAATGTTGTAATTAATAATGTTGTAATTCAATGTAGAAAGATTTTATAAAAGAATTTTGTTGTAGTATTCATATAATCTAAGAAATATTACATTTAAGCAATTTACAATTACATTTATCACAAATTATTCTATGATTAAAATTATTAATAAACATTACTAAGGATTCTATATGGTCTGGTACAGGAGGAGGTCCATGGGGAGGTGACACCATGAGTTACAGCACTGGGTGACACCAGTCCTGGTCACTCCACTGATACCCACAGCATACAAAATTAGTTCAGGGGATTCTGTGCTGTGCTAGGTGATAAAGTAAGGGATGAAAACCAAGAAGGGACAGAAGAGAAGAACAAGAAGAAAGCAGATTTTCGTCTTATCTGATCTTCCATTGTGTCTAATCATCATTGTACAGGAGATGAGATATAAGGGGTGTCTCTGTCAGAAAGGTGCAGGAATATAGAAAAATCCAGAAAATAGTCTTTGAACTAGGAAGCGTAAAGTGTGTTATAAATTCCAAGAAAGGTTTTGAATCTAATTCTGAGTAAGAGGAATTTGATAATCCAATAGATACAACAATAAATTGAAGGATGAAGGAGAGAGAGGAAATTGCAGGGAAGTAATTCAAAATACATAAAAAATCTATGGCTGGGTGTGTTTCATAAAATTGTAAAATATCATGTTTGTTAAAAACACAAGTGTATATTGCTAAAGCAGTATGTATTGGATACTATATCACCGCTGGCTCTATGAGAGCTTCTAGATACAGTTTTAATTATCTATCCACCATCCTGTGGCCTTTTAGATAAAAGTTGAAAGGCTGTACAATTCCTTATAAATCTATAGCTTAGATATTATTTTTTCTACCAACAATGAATATAAAGCCCACGATTTTTCTAACTAAATGTATATTTACTTAGAATCTAAATAAATTCCCTTCATTTCATCTGCTTAAATGTAATTATCTCTTACAGTAATGTATAAATCATAGATACTTTTAATATTCATAAAAAATTCTGGAAAATTCAAAAGCATTACATTGATCATCAAAGGAACATGGGATTGTATTTAGTATTGATTAGGAAATTAGCCATATATGGTATATGTAATGATCCTAAGTAAACCAGAATTTCTGTTTAATTAGATCAAGCCCATCACTGTTGATTTCAAGTGGGAATGTATATTATGGTTAACAGGTTCTCAATGAATTCATGACATGCTGACTCACCTGATAAGGCAATGAGAGCTACAATTAAAATGGTGATGAAGACCACATTCACTACAGCACATGGGACAGGGATTTGAAGCGACCCTTTGTCGTGTGTTGTAAAATGGGAGCTGGTGGCATTACCTGAAAGGCAGAAAGTTGACGATATGGTCAGGCAGAGTCTAGAAGTAAGACAGGGACATTTGATATCCTCTAGAGGCAGTTAAATGAAAAAAGGAGGTATGTATCACCCCATACCCTTGTATGAAATTTACAAGTTAAATTTCTCTAAATTTTGAATGAATTTGGAGTTTCTTGGTGGCTAGAAGGGAAATAATCCAGGGATAATATTGAGGCCCTAAACTATCTATGTACTTAGTAACTACACAAATTCTAAGTTTATATAATTTTTTTGTTTTAATCATAATTAGAACATTTATACCCAAGAAGACATAAAAAGAACATTCTAGACACAGTTCCTTAACCTCTCTATAGTAACCTGCTGTTTGAGATGATGCAAATGAGGATAAATGTGAATAATATACTAAAAGAAAATATTTAACTGATATATAAAATCTACAGCTAGAAAGACTAAAAATAAATAGATTGGGAGTACCAATAGTTGGTGAAGATGTGGAGCAATAGGATTTTTTGTATACTATTCGTGGAAATGTAAAATGGAAATATATTTTGGAAAACTATTTCTTATAAAATTAAATATACAGCTACCCTATGATCCTACAGTATTAGTCCTATGAATTTCTCCAAGAGAACTGAAAGTATGTCTGCAAAAAGTCTTGTACAAGAATGTTCATAGCCACTTTACTCATAAGAGCCCAGTTACAGAAATAAACCAATCATCCATCAATAGGAGATTGGATAAACAGTTTATGTATATCCATACAAGGGAATTCTACCTAGCAATTAAAAAAAGAAGAGGAAGAAGAACAACGGATATGTGCAACAACATGAATAAAAAAAAATCTAGCTACAAAAGACTGTATACTTTATGATTTCATTTACATGAAGTTAAAGATAGACAAAACTAAGCTATGGTGGTAAAAATCAGAAGAATGGTTGCCTTTATGTGCGTGGGAAGGGCAATTTAACTGGAAGGGGAGGTGCACAAGGGAACTTTCCTTGGTGATGGCAATATTAAATATGCTATTGGGGTTGTAGTTATACAATTGCCATAACTCATTAAACTGTGCACTTATGATTTGTGCATTCATTGTATGTAAAATATGCCTCATTTAAAATTAAGTTATAATTCAATTAAAATTCGTGAATGAACATTAAAATACTTGAATTTTCTAAGAGAAGTTAAAATAATAGAGAAAACAGTTTTATAGACTAAATATTGGGTCTACAATGGTGAAACAAAGTCAAAATTTTCTTTCACCATTAAGAAAAATTTCTGTGGAAGAATTTAGAATATGAATATGATTTTCATGATGGTTCTTAGTTTAAAAAAAACTAGAAAGATATCTATTCTAGAATATAAGTAAATAATAGAGAAAGGAGAGAGGATAATTTTGTGACATATTTTGGATGTGCTATTTGCTAGAATGAGCTATCGGGATTTATTAAAAAACAATTTGACCTCAAGAAAAATATATTTCCCTATTATGTTCTCAAAACTGAAATATATTACTTGAATAATATTATAACTGACCATGAAAATAGTCTGCAAATGCAAAAACATTCCTGTTCTCAAAGTGGATGACTTTCATAACTAAAAGGCATGTCTATGTAGGACATGTCTTGAAATCTGTGTATTTTGTTTCCTTAAAACATTTATCTAAAGTTCAACTGGACACAGAGGTATTAGTTTCTTTCATACTAAATTATCATATACTGGGTGTCAACATCAACTTTTGCTTCTTCTGGGGTTTCTATTTCCTGGCATAGGTCTGCATTCAGATTTCACAAGAGAAGACTTTACTTCATTCCTATCTAGTTCTATCACTGGAAGAAGCCCTTGATACGTAGGGTAGCAAGTCAGAACTCTTGTCTAGTTTCACTTCTTACCATGTGAGAGTTACTCATGCTGCTTGGACTTCATGCAGCAACAACTCTGATCCCTCAGGAAATACTCACTCAGCCAAATACTAATGCCCTTCAGAGTCTAATTCAAACCATCGGCTCACCTACTGGTTAAGAAATGACTCCTAATACGGTACTTTACATCCATTAGTGATGGCAATGTTATACCCACAGAGGCCCTGGGTGGCACAAGGAGCTAAGTGCTCGGCTGCTAATCGAAAGGTTGGTTGCTGGAATCTACCCAGAGGCACCTTAGAAGAAAGGTCTGGTGATTTACTTCCGAAAGATCATAGCCACTGAAAACCCTGTAGAGCACAGTTCTACTCTGAAATACATGGTGTTGCCGAGTCAGAATTGACTTGACAGGAACTGGTTTGGTTTGTTTTTTATTGTTACCCACAGTTTGGTTTATTACTTGGGTAACAACACATTTGACAGCAAGCTTCCTCTCTGATTACAGGTCCTGTTCATTAATGGAGAAGTTGAAATTAAATCCACCTATTTCTTACTGAGTCACCCAAGAATGGTGTCCAAGTGTTATTCATACTAATAAAGCAACTAGAAGGGCAGCATAAACTAATAATTCAACAAAAAATTTGTATAATTTCAGGAAAAGTTAAAAATTCCTGCATTATGTACTTCTTTCAACTATGCTCTCTCTCTACTGATTGAATACCTTCATTGTTATCATTTTTTTTTTCTTTTTTGGCAGTTCAACTGAGCTATAAAGTTATGGTTCACCTGAGTCCCTAAAAAATCTAATGCCTTGCCCTTGTTACCCAAACTTGAATTTGTGTTCTTAGGCAAAAGACAGGTTTATCAAAAGTAACTGATGCTCTTCTACAGTAAAGCAGTCTTGTAGACCCACACTCAGAAAACAATCCCTTTCTCTACAGAGTTCTGTGTCTGTTTTTTCTAACACTTCCCTTTATTTCTAGATATCTCTTACTTAGAAGTAAACTCAAGTTCCTAAGTGCTAGTGTTTTGGGGCATCTCATTTATTAGGGAAGAAGACAGAAAAAGGAAACAGAGAAAGCCTCACAGGAAAAAGGTATAGGGGAGCAAAGGAAACAAATTCTGATAAAGGAAATAGAATAGATATGTGGACACAATCAATGGATAGAAGAGACGGAAAGGTATATAGCTAAGATCATCATATTTTAATTAAAAATGAAATGATAAACATGTCTGATTCATGTAGAATTTGAAGCCAGTGCGTGGAAGGGATAAAAGGATGAAATGGAGGGAAAGAGGCCCATAAAGAACACTGAAGCAGATGATTGCACTCCTAAGAATTTTTTCATGATTTTCTCTTAATAAATTTTCACTGGGCATTGCAAATGCAGCTATTTTCTCAAAGGTTGGAAACCTGCACATTTCCAACAACTGGAGGATACTGTCATGAGAACACAGGCTGAAGCACACAGAAAGCAGACAAACGACACACGGAGGGCAATCAAAGATGTACTTGCTTATGTGAGAAATAGAATTTTCCGCAAGAACATGGGATGCTACCTGGAGTGTGAATAGGTGGCTATGGTAAAATGGTGGAGAGAGTACTGGACTAGAGCATTTTAGTTTTCTAAAAATTTGAGATGTTGTAAACTAAGATAAAGATCTTTAAAGTTCTGAAATTCACTATTGTGGGTTCTTCTCAACTCTCAGCTATCCTATCTTCTCATAGCTCAAGAAATATTTACTTTTTCCATTTTCTCTTTTATTCTGGCTGAAATAGAGCCTAAGTTCTCCAGAAGACAAGCCTCATTTTCCCCCTAACTATGTACCATTGTATATTATATGATTTTATCAATATATAAGAAATCAGATCCGACTTACCTTGTTTTCCTTTCTCCAGATGCAAGGAGCTGTTCTCTGTTATGGAACAATCTTCTGAATTCATCTCCAATCTGCTCAGGGTTCCCTGGTTAATCTTGGGTTAAGTCAACCTGAAGTAAAAGTCTTTGCTAGAACTCTTCTTCAGTCGTGATCACTGCATCATCTCAGCATTTATATTCCCTTATGCTGTCTCCGCCCCTTTCCTCTTGCCTCCTACTCGCTCAACGACTATGCTAGTTCTCTTTAACTTACACTCCAGTTGGCCAATTTACAACATGTTGTTGTGGTGAGATACGGATTTTCCCTGCTGTCTGAAATGTGCTTTCTCACAATTGCAGGTGTAGCGTGAGGGGCAAACGGGATTTTCCCAGAAACAGAGGTATCTGTCCTTAAATTTGGAATAAAAACAGTTTAGGAGGCAGCACAATCTCAGAAAAGAATTAAAAGTTAGGAATATAAATCAGACTCCTTAGATTACAAATGTATCATCCTAGGTATTAATTTTTCTTCTTTGCTTCGAGATTCCTATCTTTGAGATGAAAATAGTTTGGGGAAGGAGAGTGTAATACATCCCTGAAATCCCATTCATCACTTAACAACTGATATTTATTAAACATCCACTATGTGCCTGACACTGTTTGGGCCCTAAGGATTTATTGTTTGGATAAGTATGATAAGACTCTATACTCATGGATCTCTCTATTCAGCCTGGAAGAGTTTTACTTAGGAAGCTATGATGAACTTTCAGAAGTGTGTCATTCACTTCTTTCCTGGGGCCTAGTTCTTTTTAGTCCACCAGTTTATGGATATTGTTTAGTAAGTAGTTGCTTTAATGCAGGAAATAGCTTGTGGCTGCAACTTCCTCGCTATGTTCTAAAATTGTTTATCTTAAATTATCTGCTTCATTTTCTTGTTAAATTTTACTGTTACTTAGACTTCCTCTATTTCACCTCAGTAATAACTTATTCTTTGATTTCCACATAGACTCTGGGTTATTCTGTTCATATACTTTTTGAAGTGCTAGACATTTGGAATATAATTTCTGTAAAAATAAGATACTGCTATGTTATCAGACTCATCCAGGTAAGTTATTAAGGTCAATGAAAAATGAATGCAGAATATCTATGAATGGTGATATAATGGCGGAATAGGGATCAGAGAACCACTCAGGTTAATAATCTTTGTGCCTAAAATTTATTTTATCATTAATAACAGTTTTTTGAAGTAAAGACATTTTGTCTTCAGAATAAAGCCTTGGAGGAAATGTTAGACTTAGGTGGGTTTGAAATTACCATCTACTGTGGGTTAGTTGGAGCCCTGGTGGCGCAATGGTTAAGAGCTTGGCTGCTAACCAAAAGGTCAGCGGTTCAAATCCACCAGATGTTCCTTGGAAGCTCTATAGGGTAATTCTAATCTGTCCTATAGGGTTGCTATGAGTTGGAATCGACTCAACAGTAATGGATTTGGGTTTTTTGTTGGGTTAGTTAGGTCACCAGGTGTGTTTATCTGCCTAAGGTACAAAGAGGCATATGCTGGTTCTAAAAGGTCTCTTTGCTTCCCTGTTTTTCGTTTAATTTTCTAGTATGTTTTCCACATAGCAGCTAGAGGGGTGGTTTTATCATTAAGTCATATCATTTTGTTGAGATTTGCGACTCTATTCTCTTCCCACTCCCAATGGATTCCTATCAACATTACCATTAAATCCAAAAACAAAAAAAAAAAAACAAAAAACCCATTGCTGTCAAGTTGATTCCAACTCATAGCAGCCCTACAGAACAGAGTAGAACTACCCCATAGGGTTTCCAAGGAGTGGCTGGGGGATTCAAACTGCCGACCTTTTGGTTAGCAGCCGTAGCTCTTAAACACTGAGCCACCAGAGCTCCATTAAATCCAAAGACCTTATCATAGTTCAGAAGGCTTTATACATGATCTGTCCCCTGTCTATCTCTCCTACAACTCTCCCCATTAGGCACTGCCCTCTCCAACAGTAGCCTCTTTGCTGTTCCACAAAAATGGCAGGCATAATCCCACTACAGGGCTTTGTACTTTTTCTAGAGGAGTCTTCTTCCAACTATCTTCATGTCTTACTCCCTACTTTAATTTAATCACCTGCCCAGAGAAGTCTTTACTTGCCATCACACCTAAACTAACACTCTACCCACCTTTACCTTTCTCTATAACATTTGTCAATACCTGACATTATATCATTATCATGTACTTTCCTTACTAGAATGTAAGCTACTTGGGGGTAAGGACATTGTCAGATTTGTCTCTTCTGTGTCTCTGCCATCTGACATAGTAACCGGATATCACGCTTGGTAAAGTAGAGGGTCAATGAAAAAAGAGGAAGACCCTAAACAAGATGAACTGACACAGTGGCTGCAACAATGAGCTCAGACATTCCTACTATTGTGAGGATGGCGCAGGACCGGGAAAAGTTTCATTCTGTTATACATAGGGTCATTGTAAGTTGGAGTTGATTCAATAACACCTAACAACAACAGTATGTACTCAATACATACTTATTTAGTGAATGAATGAATGAATGAATGTGAATGAATACAAAGTTTGTATGAAAATTATAAAGATTCCAAAATATGGAGAGCTACTTAGGGAGGCTTATGGAATTTCAGGGTTGAGAAATACATGACTCTAAACTATCACAAGATAGCAAATGTGCGCTTGGATGCTACTGATGAATGATGAGGGAGGAGTTAAGTTTGGTACTTAAAAGGAAATAGCAGGATCTATTGCTAATGTTTTTGTTAATTTCTTTGGGTTAAAGGGACTCCATCTTTTAAATGTTTGTTTATTCTCTGATAATTAGGAGATTTGTGTTAGAGTCCAGACTCTTCCATACCCACCGTGTTGTGAAGAATGCATGCAATAATATCACTGTTATAAATCTGCAACATTATTTAAACTCTTCCAAGTTGATGGGATATAAATAGAGAGAAAGAAAATATCCTTGAGCATACTGATAATCTTTTGATGTATCTTTTCCACGTGCAAAGGACTTTTCTACAGCTGATTGGACTAACATATAAATCATAGTCCAGTTATACCATTACTAATGTACCTTTTCTTCTCTGGTGATTCCCATATAAAATTAAAAATCTAATATCCTTAGCTGGACACTAACTATCCTTGAAGTTTGAATACTCCAGAATAGTCAGGCAGGTTAGCATTATGGAAAACAAAAACAAAAAAATACAGCTTTTACAGCCAGACAGATGATTATCTCTAGCAGTTTTGATTTTGTTCCCTATAGGCTGGCCACCAACCAAAAACCAAACCAGTTGCCATCAAGTCAATTTCAATTCATAGTGGCTCCATGTGTGCAGAATAGAACTGTGTTCCATAGGGTTTTCAATGGCTGTGACGTTTCAGAAGCACATCACCAGAACTTTCTCTCGAGATACCTCCGGGGGGTTCAAACCACCAATTTTTTGGTCGGTAGTTGAGTGCTTAATCGTTTGCACCACTCGGGGACTCCACTGACCATGGTTCTGTTTCTTGAAGAAGCCAAACTCATGTTCATTTTATAAGGTGTGTTCTTGTTCTTTTACCCTCTGCTCTCAGATTTCTTGTGTTACCTCCTCAACAGGACCTTCCCTAGCCACCCGTCTAAATTTGCTCCAGTTAGTCACTATCTATTACCTCACTCTCTTTTACTTCATAGGGCATATCACTGTCTGAAATTTTGTAGTTCACTTATTTGTAAACTTTTTGTCATTATTATTATCTGCTTGCCAGTACTAGAAGGTAAAGTCTTTAAGAACTGGGACATGGCTGTATTATTTAACACTGAATCTCAAGGATCTATAATAGGGCCTGGTGAATTCAACAAGTGTTTGTTGGATGGATACATAAAATAATATGTATGTGGATGTTGACTTAGGCACTTATTAACTGTGCAGCTTTGGAAACCCTACATTACTGAGCTCTGATTTTGTTATCAGTAAAATAAGAATATTAACCTCTAACTCATAAGAAAAAAACTATAAATTAGAAAATTAATTTTCTAATACTATTTAGTACATATTAGGCATTTAATGATATTTAAGGGAATAACAGTTTGATATAGGTCATGAAAAGGGTAAGTTCCTCATTTGATGTAAGGCACTAAGAGATAATAGCTGATAAGCAATGGCATAATTGCTGACGTGATACAATGCAGGCCTTGTTTGACTGGGACAGAGAAAGACACAGGAAGTTGTAGTCTCTGATAACCACCTCTAATAGCTTTTACAGTACCAGGATTCTTGCTTACATACTCAAGATTTCTTAGTCCTTCAACTATAATCAGGTAAATGGATATGGCAATACTGAAAATTTAACAACATATTGTTCTCAATTATAATAACGTTATAGATATAAACCTTGTTGCTGTCGGGTCAATTCTGACTCTCAGTGACCTTATAGGAAAGAGTAGAACTGCCCCATAGGGTTTCAAAGAGGCGCCGGTGGATTTGAACTGCCCACATTTTGGTTAGCAGCCGAGCTCTTAACCACACTACCAGGGCTCTGTTTTATATATATCTATATATCTATGTATATGTATATATATGTATATATACAACACACATTCATATCTATGATATGTATTATATATATACTACATACTTTATATATGCCATTGCCCAAAGATCTTATTTTAAGAAAATAAATTTCTTTACATTACGACATTGATCAAAACTGATCTGTTACCTTTGTACTGGAAATTTTTCTCTACCTATCTATATGGGGACAGCCAGAGTAGCTTGTTAAAACCATCACATGTGTGGGTGTGAGTAGGCAGCCACCGCAAACAAAAACCAGCCAAATTACCAAGAACCTGGTATGTTGTCAGTGGGCTTCCTAGGTACCCACTGCCCTTCATGCTGTTCAGGGTCCTCCGTAATAGAATGAATTTTGTTGCAAAATGAATTCTTTCTTCATTAATCTTCCCTCCCCTTCCACAAAGTTTTTAAATATAAGAAATCTCCCTTAGATCTCAGAAAGCAATCAATCTAAACAAATTCATGCAAAAGAATGAATGATGAATCGGCATTGTCCAGCACAGTCCTGGTTGACCTGTTGCCCTGTTGTAATAATTAAAAATATACCCTTTCCTTTTCAAGTGTCCTGTTACTTGCAATAAATTACATGCTCGCAGTATTAATCAATACTTGCTAACCAAAAGGAAGCTATCTGTACATGTGAAATTCTGAC